ATGATAGTAAATAAAATAATGAAAATGAATATCACAACGATAACCGTGATAGCAATGAAATTAGTGAAAATGATGATTACGCTTTTCCTAGTGATCATTGGTGACATTAGTTGGCGTAGTCATCTAGTGACGCAAACGGATTATCACTAACATCGTTCAACCGCCTCCGCCCGCCACCACTGGTAAGTGTCTCCCAATGATTTACCTCTCAAACAAGAAATTCGCGTTATCTCACATATTTTTTATTTGATTAGGGAAAAGAGACATGATGACTCAGACTTGGATGAAGAAAGTGGACCCAGAAAGAAAGAAAAAAGCTTAGTTTTTTCGCTGACATTACTATCTCCTTATGTAAAAATTAATCTCCACAAGTTCTATGACCGTGATGAAGCTTTGAATTTAATTTTGGATGTCGCTTGTCTCAATTATGAAAAACGTACAAGTAACGATCACAAAGATCATCATTTTATCCAAGTTCCTGGAGGAATAGGAATAGAAAAGACACGCATAGGATGGGAGTCACAATATCTGTTATCCAGTCTGAAAGCAGAGAATGACTACACTGATGAATTCAAGAAAGCTTTGAAAGATCCCTGCTACATCTTTGTTGACTTGAACAATGGATGCAAATATCTTATGGGTTTCGATGACAAGAAAGACTCAAGTGTACGAATAGGAGCACGCATGGCAGTAGCTTCAGGTTTGGTGTCTGGGCGTCTATCTGATTTGTTAGATACGAACACTAAGTGCTTAAATCTTTTCAATGTGATCTCGCATATTCTTAAACTTCGCTTAGAAACAAACCAGCAGTCAGTTTATGCCATCATCATCCACCTTGATGAATTTCAACTATACATTGATGATGTTCAAATTCACCAAAAAACATCGTGGGAATTAGCTCGCAAATTCTATAAAACAATGCTAAAAGAGATTGGTAGTGTCATGCGTGAAAACTCTAATGCTAATTATTTTATCGTCCCAATCTGTACAGGAACGTCTGCTATTGATATTAATTTTTTACTTACAGAGCATTCTCAAATATCGTTGAACCTCAAACCTTTGAATTATGAATCAGCAAGATCTATGTTTCTTGACAAGTATGAGTATTTGAGGTAAGCAACTGATAAGGGAAGAGAACTAGTAACTTAAGGTCTCAATAAACATTATTCATCTAATAATCTTAATGATGAAAGTATCAAGAGTCTTTCAACAAAATTTTGTAACTTTGTTCTGAAACAGAATCACTTTTGTATTGCCATGTATGACACTGGTTTCATTCTAAAGTTCATTGATGATCTTTTAGGCCCTTCTGTTCTCACATCAGATTTTGATTGAGGGAATCAACTTTTTAATAAAATTTCTAAGCGGGCACTTGCTAAGGTTGGGAATAATCCAGGTGATTGGAAGAGCTTAAACGATGTACGTACTATAATCTCATTTAGGCTCACTAGGCAATCTATCAAGCGAGATTTTCTGTTGTCCAGTGGCATGTCTATTGGTGAACTTGAGCGGGCTGGTTTGATTTATCTCTCCAACTTTAAGGGTGAACAGTATACCATTGTTATGCCCTTCATTCTATTGAAGATACTCAACAACATTCTCTTTACTTCTGATGTAGAAACTGTGTTTTCAGATAACCTTCTCTTAATCCCGACACACAATGTCCCTTGGCAGTGACAAGATTTTAAAAATCTATATGGATATTACTAAAAAGCCATTATTAATAGTTTAATCGAAGTTAAGAATTCAATGATTTTGTCCATTAAGCATAAAATTTATCATCTCGAAGTAAAAGATAAAAATCAAACGGATAGTTACGAAAAAAGTAAAATCAACGCCGAAATGAAAAGAGTAACTAATGATTTTGCCATTCAAACTGATAAGAACTGGCAACTATCTGATATATTTCGTAATGCAAAAGGTGCTGACACACTTCTTCAACGTAAAGTACGATTGCGCAGGCTTAAAGTCTTTACTGAGAATGAGAAATTTCTTGTAAAAATGAGTGACATTGCCAAATTTACTAAATTTGTATTATGTGATGATAATGTGTCTCGCGAATTTGACAGAGGCATTTTTCGCTGTTACCAAGGATGTGCTAACATTGATCACCGCTGGATTCTTGATTCTGCTGATGAGGGAAAGAAATTAGCAATTTTTTCGCAAATTAAATACTCAGAACGTGATACAACTACTACTATTTCCACACCAGTGATTAAACGATGGTATGATACAACAATAGCATCAGTAGAAAATTATAAAACTGAGTATGATGAGATTCTTGTCTTGTTCACGAACCGGACCTGTACGGGAACTATTGATATGGAACAAATGCCCAAACTGCTTCTCATTTATCCAGGTAATATGGAGTTGTATCTTTCTCTAGCATTTGCTTATCGTGATTTACAGTAGCGGTTATAAGTATCCGACCGCCCGAGATCGTCCAAAATTATTATATAACTACCCTTAAATTTTCCAGAAATATAATATAACA